GGATTCCTCAAAAGAACTTGATGACAATTTAGATGTGTTTAACAAACTTGTACAAGATATTGTTAACTGTGGAGAGTCGGTGCCTGAAACATACAAAGCTATTATACTGCTGAATGCTATACCTGATATTTATCGTGAAGTGAAAAATGCTATTAAGTATGGTAGGGACACCTTGACACCTGAAATTGTCGTTGACTCTCTTAGAAGTAAAGAGATGGAGATGAGGGCTGAAAAACATGATAGGAAGAGCGGTGAGATTCACATGATGAGGGGTAGAACTCAGTTTAGGCAAAACAGTCATAATGGTTACCAAAGTAGTGGCGAGTCTAGTAGTAATGGATATAGAAGGAAAAGCAGGGGTAAGCCTAGATCCAAATCTAGGACTAAGGAAAGAAAATGCTATGGCTGTGGGAACACGGGGCATTTTATAAAAGATTGCTATAAAGAGAAAAATAAGCAAAAGGGTCGAGATAGAGACGAGGTGAATGTGTTGTCGTCTGACTCTGGTAATTGTGATGGTGAAATCTATATGATTACCAATTCTGTTGTTTCTTCTGCTGAATTAAACTCAACTGCAAATTCTCGTTTTCATGAGTGGATTCTTGATTCTGGTGCATCTTTTCATGTGACATCACATAAAGATTGGTTTGAAAATTTGTATGAATCAAATGATGGGCATGTTGTGTTGTGTGACAATTCTGCTTACAATGTTGTTGGCATGGGTGATATTACGTTGAAGTTTGATACTGGTTTTGTGTATACTTTAAAGGACGTTAAATATATCCCTGAATTGTCTAGAAACTTAATTTCAGTAGGAAGACTTGAGAAATCTGATTTCACTGGTAAAATTGGAAATGGGATTTTGAAATTGATTAAAGGTGCACTCGTTTCTATTAAGGGTATTAGAAAAAATGATATTTATATAACCACTGGGGAAGTGATGAGAGGTTTAGACTCCTCTATCTCTTCCGCCAAGTCTGATCATACACACAAATGGCACAATAGACTTGCACATGTGGGTATTAAGGGGATTAAGCTTCTTAATGAAAAAGGTGCTTTTGGAAATGACTGTGTGTCTGATTTGTCTTTCTGTGACCATTGTGTGCTTGGCAAACACCATAAAACTACTTTCTCCACAAGTGTTCATAATACTAGAACCATGCTTGAATATGTGCATTCGGACCTGTGGGGTCCATCTAGCACTCCCACCGCAGGTGGGAATAGGTATTTCTTGTCTATTATTGATGACTATACTAGGAAAGTGTGGGTTTACCTTTTGAAAGAGAAATCCGACACTTTCGATAAATTTAATAATTGGAAAAGACAAGTTGAAAACCAAACTGGTAAGAAGATCAAGTTTTTGAGAACTGATAATGGTCTAGAGTTTTGTAACACTGATTTTGATAATATGTGCAAGGAAAGTGGAATAACAAGGCATAAAACGGTTCCTTACACTCCCCAACAAAATGGGGTAGCGGAAAGGATGAATAGAACCATACTTGATAAAGTGCGTTGCATGATGTTAAGTTCTGGAGTCCCGAAGTCATTTTGGGGCGATGCTGTTATGACTGCTTGTTATTTGATTAATTTGACTCCATCTGCTGCATTGAATGGTGATACTCCGCATGAAAAATGGTTTGGTAAACTTAGTGATTACTCCATGCTTAGAACTTTTGGCTGCACTGCTTTTTCTCATCAGAGTGAGGGAAAGCTTGAACCTAGAGCTAGGAAATGTGTTTTTCTAGGTTACCCCGAAGGTGTCAAGGGGTATAGGTTGTGGGATAGGAGCCAGAAAGGAGTTAAAATCATTGTGAGTAGAGATGTTACATTCAATGAGAGCGAAATGCCATGTTTGAAAGCTGAATCTGAACCTGTAAGTGAGGAAATACAAGGTGAAGAGAGTAGTCAGCTGAAGGTGGAGTTAGGGAAACCTAGCACATTCATCCCTGTTACACAGAGTGAGGTGGAGACTCAGGAACAACAACCTGATGTCGAGAATGGAGATGAAGTAGTAGTAGAAGAATACCCTGAAGAAGAGAATCCTCTAGCAGACTATAACTTGGCTAGGGATAGAGAGAGGAGACAGACTAGAGCACCGGTGAGATTTGGTTATGAATCCGAGTTAGCTTTTGCTCATGCGAGTTATGAGGAGTTAGCTGATAGGGAACCGAAGACCTTTGAAGAGGCAATGAAGAGTGAACAATCTGAAGAGTGGTTTAAGGCAATGAGAGATGAGATGAGTTCTTTAGAGACGAATCAAACTTGGAAATTAGTACCTAAACCTAAAAATAAATCTACTGTTGACTGTAAGTGGGTTTTTAAGGTTAAGGAGGGTACTAGTGCTTCTGAACCCTTAAGGTTTAAGGCTAGGTTAGTGGCAAAGGGATACACTCAGAAAGAGGGGGTTGATTACAATGAGATTTTTTCACCAGTTGTTAAGTACACTACCATTAGGGTCATACTTGCATTGGTTGCACATTTTGACTGGGAACTTGAACAACTTGATGTAAAAACTGCTTTTTTACATGGTGAACTTGATGAGCAAATCTTTATGAATCAACCAAGAGGTTTTGAAGACAAACTAAAACCTGATTATGTGTGTTTCTTGAAAAGATCGTTATATGGCCTAAAACAATCACCTAGACAGTGGTATAAAAGATTTGATTCTTTTGTGCTATCTATAGGGTTTCATCGTAGCAAGTTTGATCACTGCCTTTACTTCCAACATAATGATGCTAGTAATGATTTTTTGTTCTTACTACTTTATGTGGATGATATGCTCTTAGTTGGTTCATCGCCTAAATGGATAAGTGATATAAAAACAAGTTTGAATGGTGAATTTGACATGAAAGATCTAGGAAAGGCTAAAAGAATCCTAGGTATGGAAATTGAAAGAGATAGGTCAAATTCTATCTTGTTTTTACATCAATCCTCGTATATTTCAAAAGTGTTGAAGAAATTTGGAATGTATGATTGCAAATCTGTTACATTACCTGTAGCTAGTCACTTTGTATTATCTAAAGATCAAGCTCCATGCAATGAAAAGGAAGTAGAATACATGAGCAGAATTCCGTACTCAAATGTGATTGGTTCTGTTATGTACTTGATGGTTTGCACTAGACCTGATTTAGCTTTCGCTGTGAGCACGCTTAGTAGATATATGTCTAATCCTGGTCCTGAGCACTGGGAAGCCTTAAAATGGATGTTAAGGTATTTAAAGGGTACATGTAATGTAGGTCTAAAGTTTGGTGTTAATAACGATGGTGTTAAACTGAAAGGATATGTTGATGCAGACTATGCTGGGGATAGGGATAACAGGAAATCCACTTCTGCCTATGTGTTTACCTTGTCTAACTCTTGTGTTAGTTGGAAATCACAGTTACAACACATAGTTGCACTATCCACGACAGAATCTGAATACATTGCTACTACTGAGGCTATTAAGGAAGCTTTATGGCTTAGAGGCCTTTTACATGAACTGTGTGTTCTAAATGATTATGTGGTAGTATATTCAGATAGTCAGTCTTCTATACATTTATGTAAGAATCCTGTTTTTCACGAACGCACCAAACACATTGATGTTAGACTACATTTCATTAGAGATATTGTGTCTCAAGAAGTAGTAAGACTTGAGAAAATACACACACAATATAATCCCTCAGACATGGGTACTAAGGTGCTACCTTTGGTGAAGTTTAGAAGTTGCAAAGATCTTCTAAACATCGGTGGGGGTAAATGATTTCCAATTTTATTGGTTCTCCATTTTTCTAGATTATTACTAATGCGTAATAACTTTCTTTGCAGGTCCTTTGACACCAAGGTGGAGGTTTGTTAGGCAAATTGTTGTCAAACGACCTCCCCCGGGCGATGATGAATTACGTTGTATTAATTCAGTCGGCATAGTCCAAATGACTGAAAGTTAATCGAACACCACAATTGGTAAACCGACCCTAAACCGACCCAAACTTGGATGGCCCACCTATGTTTTCTACTTGGGCCTTAGCTTGCTTATTGGGCCTAACCTAATTCTATACCTAATACTATATGTATGCTAACCCGTTTCTATTCATGCCTGTGTGAGAGACTTTGTGCCTTTGAGAGCAAACCGTGACCTTGGCTGTGTGCTACCTTCATCCCTTTGCTCTCCTTTGCCTTTGTGGCTAGCTTGAGGTTACACAACTCTCTTCACCATTCGACCGAACCTGTGGGCAGTAGAGAAACTGTGGAGCAACCGGGTGTGGGAGGTTGGGGGTGTGGGTTTCTCTTGTGGGGTGCGATTGGAGTATTCTGAACCCGGTAGCTTGGTGTTTCAACCCTCACAGTTGTCTTCTAATTTAAGAAGCTTAATTTGGCAAATTTTTTGTCATTTAAGTTACTTTTTGACCAAGAGTACGTAGTATCGCTTCTTCAGTAGTTGCTCTTTCTTGCTCATTCATTTCCATTATAATGGTCCCATTTTCAATATTATTATTACATTTGGATGAATGGTCATATTCAAAGGCTATAAACTATTTTTAACACAAAAATTATTATTTTACTCCCTCTAATTTTACAAAAAGTACCTCATTTTGTGTAAAATTATTCTTCGACGTTCGTGTCAAAATTTGGAAACAAAGGCAAAATTACTATTTGCTAGTTTCTATGCGATTGATGTGCTACTTTCATAAAAACCAAAATCCTTTCTCAATGGATCATAACCTTGAGCATTTAAAGAGATATCATGAATTCGATCGATTTAATGAGTTTAACGATTCGGTTGTTTGCTACTTTGGTGTGATGAATTGATTTCATATGTTGCAGTAAACTTATTTCTTGTATCGCATAAAGGGAGATATTTCTTGAAATGAGAAAAAACCTCATATAGGGGAAGAGAGAGTGGAGGCAGCAAACCTGTAAACCTCTAGATTTTTTCAGTCGGTGATCATATTCAATCGCATATCTTTGATTGAAGTTTAACAAAACCATGATTAATTAAGGAAAAATACGGTAGAGAACAACACCTAAGAGCGCCAGTCAAGGAACTGTTGGAATTGCACCTTCAGCCAGCAAGTTCACACATCCAGCAGATCACGTTCAGCATGCAGATTCTTCTATCACATGGCCAAGACATGCTTATTCTAGATCCTTCATTAGTTAGTTAGTTTGTTAGATTTACTCTATAAATAGAGCTATGTAATCACCTTTACAATTGAGCATTTGATGATTAATAAATCTCCTTATTCATCATGTTCCTTCAATGTGTTTTTACATATTGAACCTATCTTCCTGTTATGTTCTTCATTTAGTTTTCGTGCTGATATGTTTCCTGCTGGTTCATGATCTCTGTTGATCTGTTTCTACTAGTTTTGATTTCTTAAGAGGAACCTCATATCTTTGGTTTTGAGTCAGCAACCTCTCTAACAACTTATTTTTAAGACAAAAGAAAGGCAAATCAGGAACTTCGTTACTTTTTCTGTTTTGGCATGATATTACAATCTTAAAAGTGAAACAATGTTGTATCAAAGTGTAATTTATTTGCACTTATATTCAGTGGCAACAGCAAGAAGTGGTTTTTTCCTACGAACTGTAACGCCAGGATATTCAGTCATGTCCAAATCTTCTCCTTTTTCTCCATTGGGCAATTTCCAGTCAAATTTTTGGACAAGATTTGCCAGTGCAAATTCAATGGTTGCCATTGCGAAACTGATTCCAGGGCACCCTCTTCTGCCTGCACCAAAAGGAATCAGTTGGAAATCTATTCCTCTGAAGTCTATAGAGGAGTTCAAGAATCTCTCAGGCTGAAAGTTTTCGGGTTCCTCCCATGATTCAGGGTCTCTACTGATTGCCCAACAATTGGTTAAGATCATTGTTCCGGCAGCTATATCGTATCCCATAATTTGAACGTCTTGGCTTGCTATTCGGGCCAAAAATGGGACCGGAGAATGATAGCGAAGAGTTTCCTTGATTACAGCTTTTAGAAAATGCATTTTCTCCAGGTAATTATCAGTTATGTTCTGTTTGCCATTGAGAATACTCCTCACCTCATTTTGCAGCTTCGTCATGATTTTAGGATGTCTTAAGAGCTCTGTCATTGTCCATTCTAGAACAGTTGATGTGGTGTCAGTTCCACCAACAAAAACATCCTGGTATAATTAGATAAAAATATTCAATAAGATAAGGCTGGGCGTGTATGATTGTGAAAGAATGTTTACTTATTTTAGAAAGATGAGACAATAGGATTTAAAATAATGATATCTTGCACGAATAGTGTTACATCACCATTCTAGCGGCTAAACTTTATAGTTTCAATTAAATGAGTCACGTGACTTTGCATTTAAATGAATATATCATTTAATGTCATCTAATTGTTAATATCAGCTGTGATGAATAACATTACTCTATGATTTAATAGATTAAGCCATCATCATTTCTTTTAATAGAAATTATAATTAGAAAAGGAGTCAAAAAACGAATAAAGGACACGTTGGTTTCAATCTTAGAGCTACATCCAAATTTTCAATATAATGGAGAAGAAGAATACACCTTTCTCACATAAGACGTCCTCCAAATAATATCAGAGCGACTTAATAATATATAGAACTCTGTGCTCAAAAACCCAAAATACCCCTAAGAAATTCACCAAGAGTATTCCTTTTGATAGTGTTCCTCAAGTTGTGGTTGAGGGAAAAGTGTATCGTATGTTATGCGCCATATATTTTGACAAGAAAGACATAAATAGATAGACAGATAGAGATGGAGAGAGATCTTTACCACGAGTATTCCTTTAATACTGTCCCTATGAATGGAGACACCGGTAGTTTTATCGTTGTAAATTGTGGTCAAAATATCAAGAAAGTTCTCTGTTTTTGCATTCTGAACTGCCTTTCCTGATAGATCTTGTCCAGCATCCAAGCATCCCTGAATTACTTCCTCCAGGAACTCATCAATTTCTTTAGCAACCTTGTCCACTCTAGCCTTAAACCCCGAAACCCTCTCAATCCATGAAAGCCATGGAATGAATTCTCCCACACTAAGATTTGCCAATAACTCTGAAAATTCCCTCAGTAGATTCAGAAATTTCTTTCCACTCTCCTCTTCACTGAATTTCCTTCCTAAAGCTGCTCTGCAGATCACATCATTTGCAAGGGAAGAGCATATTTCACTCAGATTCACTGGCGATGATGTTGCAGATATATTCCCTGATACCTATTTTCGAGAACGAGAATAAATATAAAAGCACTTAGAAAACGAGCAAAGCACAAAATATTAGGCGATATACAGTCCAAATGACAAGTGATAAGTACTAGGAGAATATTTTTGAGGACAACAATAAACAAAAAGGCAATGAGTATAGCAAAGCACACAGAAGATAAAGCTCCACACAGTCAATAGATGAAAGAAAATAGGACAAGCCACCTACTTTCATAAGAACAATAAACAGAATAGTAGTCAGAAATTGAGCAAATAACTAATTACAGTCGATACAGTTCAACAGACGGAAGTAAAGAAGTCTCCTTGACCTTTTTAATCAAAAGGTCTGTTTCTTCTTCCCTGATGGAACGAAAAGTCTGGACCCTCTTATGACTTAAAAGCTGGAGAACACAAATGCTTTTTAACTGCCTCCAGTATTCACCATAGGGCGCGAGAGAAACATCCTTCCCGTCATACATTAATCGCCTGGTAACACTTGAGTCAGGTTTATTGGCAAAGATTAGATCCCGAGTTTTCATTATCTCTTTCGCTGCATAGGCTGATGAGACAATGACTGTTGGCTTATTGCCAAAGTGAAGCAGCATCATAGGACCATATGTTTTTGCCAAGGATTGGAGTGATCTGTGAGTCAACGCACTCAATTGGTGGAGATTGCCCAAGACTGGCACTTTTGGAGGTGATGGTGGAAGATTTTTTGTAGCAGTGGGCCTGTAGAAAAATTTGAGGAGAAACCATACAAAGGACAAAGTGATAATACAGTATAGAAATGGAAGAAATTCATCAATTTCTTGATGAGTGTAAAACATGTTTGAGCGAAGGATTTTCTGTCTCAATGAAAGTGACGGACTCACTAGTTAAGATGATAGGTTATAGAGCTCAATTAGGACGAGCAAACAAGTCTTATTCCAGATAAATATTAGACTGGCATGTGATTAAATAAACTCGACGTAGTTGCATTTTGAATAAAGAAACTAGATAACGTGACATTATTTTTGGAAGTATTACCTTTATACGAAAGTCAACGCATGGAAAGAGTGATTATTTCATAACCAGATCTCTTTTCAATTAACAAATGGATTTTGCTGTATTTTTCTATTGTGGGTTTCCAGAGCTGTCTCCATTGTAAGTGTTATGCCCTAAGTCCAATGAACTTTGGATATAAACACTTTGAATATATATATAATCAATGCATATGTATGGCAATATCTATTATTTAATTGAATTAATATTCTAATAAATTAAATAATAGAATCCGTAGATTCAAGTCTTGGTGATTTGTTAATCACAAGGAGTTGTGATTGTGAGATACAAATTACATATGACTGAATCTTAAATCGTCCGTGGTCGA